TTCTTTCGTATACTCACTGAAATCAAATATTATAATCATGTACTTGAATAAATGACATAATTATATCTAAACATCAATCATCAAACAGTAATATAAGTCTAGCAATCGGAGCATTATACAACTACCAGACAAGCGAAAATTACATCAATCGGTAGGTATTTATAGTAGGCTGGAACAATGCTGATAAACTATCAAGCCCAATCGTCCCACAAAGTGAGAATATAAATCATTTTAATGTAAACATGATTCACATATATTACTTAAACATGTTGTAAATTCTGTAACACATGATACTCGTAATACACATCGCAATATAAGACTCAGTTAAGTTACACAACGTCTGTTACAAACTTCTAACAGAATGAAATCTAAACGTATCCAAGGTCAACATCAAACAACACAAACTGAAATACAAAACTTGAATAATTATTCTTTAAATCATCTTTGAAATCCCTCAAAACATCTTTATCCCTCAAAACATCTATATCGACAGAAAATGGTGCATAAACAATTTAACACCAATTTTTCTTTTATTTTGTCTATGAACAGCGCAATATAATCAATCAATATAATTTGTAAATCAACACCTTATAACCAAAACTTATGTGCAACATCACTAACAGGCATTCTTATTATCATAATTATTTACAAACAGACATCTCTATCAACCTGAAACTGGGCATTATCACTCACTTTGATACATGATTCAATTTAATATCTTTTTCTAGAAGCATTAAATACTCATAAAGACTGCCAAATAGTTGTAGAAACACCTTCAACAAAGATAAACCGCGTGTCTCTCTAAAGCCCACATCAAACCAAACTAGATCTCACTACGTTTTTGACCCGTCCTAAAAATCGTAAAACGGGTTGAGGTTTAGGTAGGGTGTGGAAATAATGTCTATAAAACAAACCTAGTTCGTTCATAAACAGTCCTCAAAACGTCCATCTCGTCTGTACCTCTTCTACAGTCAATTCATATCAAGTTCGGGTAAATGTGCTATTTCCAAGTAGTCTAAGTCAATTTAACTAATTATACCTCGAGTTCCCGATACGTCCAACCCCATTCTTATGAGTTCACAACCTGTGCTAACTAGTTTGTAACCCGACCACCCCGTTTAGAGACAGTTCAGCTCCTCCTGATTGTGTTCTTAGTGGCCCTTGTAGTGCGTGTGCCATCCCGTCCTGACTCGAGGGCTATACAAAAAACCAGCATGTGCTTGCCATTCCTCATTCCCGTTCAACTTTCAAGCTGAGCAGATCAAGATATGCAACGGGATGAACAAGGAAACGGGCCCGGTCGAGCTACAAACTGAGGAACGGTCGTACTGTGAAGTGAGACAAAGTGTCCGATCCCAATACCAGGAAAACAACAAAATTCCCCAAAATATTATTTTTTAGTTTTCAACATAAAAATAAATTTGCTAACTGAGCTAAATTGAATATTAGGCGTTTTAAAAAACAGTTTAATGAAACACAGTATCACAATTCTCTTGATATTTACAAACTTACTTTTGAAAAGAAACTTTTAAAGATGCATATACTTTGATCAAATAGGTTATACCACTGTACTTTCATTTTTCATTTACAATCAATGATAAAATGACCAAATATCTATATATATTTTTTCCATAAATAGCCAAACACTATCAAAAATATGAATTCAACTAAGATTACTTCAATTGGTCATTTAAAGTAGTCAATATCTTTTACTAGAAAAATAAATATGTCAGTGTCTCATATACAATGTACAAGTATACATATATCCAGGTTCGATTCCAAAAGGAGACATTTTGCCACCTTTGCAAACGAATTCCGAAGGGGATGACAGCACTAGGGAACTTTGATTTAATTAAGCTGCACAACTTGTATTCTCTCATTTTATTTCAAAGTTTATATGCTTGTATACAATTTGCGCCGCTCTTTATTGTACCTGCAAAAACTGTCTTTCGGGAATTGAACCGCGTTTTCAATGGCATATGCAATAAATGTTCCAATTATTTCTTGCACTTCAATCCAATGATTGGATATTTATTATTAGATGTATGTATAAAATCCTTAGAAACTGAGGCGTTGAGTGAAAGTGCTATACAAATAAAATCGTTATAAAGATACATTCACAATAGAGGGTATGGGTGTGGCGTCAATCAGAACTAACATTAAATAAGCAGCTTGTGCAATGATATCTTACATTTATACAGTATATAATATATGTTTCTATTCTGTGTACAACAAACATCTATACTTTTAATATGTAGAAGTGTTGTGGTCCAGTGGATAAGTCTCCGGACTGTGAGCTACAAGATACGGGGTTCGAATCCATGTCGCATCACCAATGTCGTTTGGCAAGACCTTAATCTTTAATTGCCTCACTCCACCCAGGAGGTAAATACGGCCTGATAGGAATTAATTCTTTGAAATGCTTGGGCGCCGTAATGTACGGTAGCTGTGATAAAGCCGGAGTAATGATAATGGAGCGCCAGGAGTGGTAATATGCCAGACATTACCGCTATACAAGACTTTAAGACTCCACTGTTATTATTATTATTATTATTATTATTATTATGAAACGTACCTCAGTTTCTCGTTTCCTTTTATTAGGGGGACTCGAGGGACGGTTGTCTCAGCGAATCTCTTTAAGCAATATTCAGATTATATTTAATAGTGACTATTTGTAAACAGATTGTAATTCAAAAAAGCTCTGGTAAATATATCAAGAATAAATATTAAAATAACTTTCAGAAAATAACACTTTTATCACACCAAATCATAAGAGAGCTTCACAAATCAGGAAACTGTTTAAATTAATTCAAGATTGACTACAACTGATTTCATTTGGTTTAAAGAATATGTAAAACGATTTTGTGTGTATATGTATAATACTAATGAATAATGATAATACCAACATTTATAATGCGCACGTATCCACCCAAGGGATGCTCAAAGCGCCTCAACAAATTGTGTATTTACATGTTTATACATATATACATTACATAGTTATATAAAGATATATGTAAGTAGACAGCCTCAACCAGTACTTTTAACCAGTGCATGTCAAAAAATATGGCCAATAATAGAACAAAAGTTACATGTATGTTAAAGTTAGATAGCAGCAAATAAGGTTTAAAAATGTACCATTAATTTTCATAACATATAATTGATAAAAGATGCTAGAAAACGTTGAATGTACAGATGACTAATAAGACATCATCCACACAAATAGACTGTATCAATGTGGCAATGCCCATGGACAGACAAATAGTAAGCATTAGTATTCACCCAAAAAAAAAAAACAGGTAACAATTTAAGACTTTAAGTATTATTTACGATGCATGTTATTATTATAATATCTATGTACATGCAATAAACGATACATTTGGTAACAACATTCTATTGTCTGAACATTATTATGTACCCATATGTTTACAATGGCTTTAAACGAATCAACACAAACCGAATCAGCAGTAAACCTACTGTGTACTAATGCAGGATTTATTTAGATTTCTTCTATTGTGGTTTAAAGAATATGTAAAACGATTTTTTGTGCATATGTTTAATGATAATGAATAATGATAATAAAAACATTTATAATGCGCACATATCCACCCCAATGGATGCTCAAGGCGCCTTATCAAATTTTGTATATACATGTGTATACATATACATATATACATTACATAGTGGCCTTGTGGAGGCATAGTTCCCCGAACAGTAGTTAAGAGATTTACATATACAAACAAAACTATAACATAAGAAACATACATGACAAAACATGACAGGGACATCGTTCATGGCAGGTAACACAAATGAAAATAATCATTACAAAATGAAAGGTTTGAAAACAGCTAAAGGTAATGCTGTATAATATGAATATGGGTACAAAAAGTAATGATATTTTGATATAAGATGCTGCTTCAATTTTCTTTTAAATAATGCTAGAGACTTGCATGAGGATATTTCTGGAGGAATAGAGTTCCAAATAACAGGAAAAAATTTTCTTACATATTTCAAATATATATTTGTCCTAACTGGCCTTAAATAAAAAGAGTCTCGCCCACGGGTATTATAATTATGAACATCATTATTTAAAGTGAACATTCTAGACATATATTGCGGTAGTTTATTTTGAAAATAAAAGAATCCAAACAGGGAAATTGAATACAAATATAAGTAAAATTTATTCAGTGTTTTCAATTTCATAAATAATGGGACAGAGTGAGTACGATAATGACAGCCTAAGCATGTCCTAAGGGCTTTCTTTTGTAGTTTAAATAATTCCTCCAATTTTGTGTGATTACTATTAAAATACCCCATACAACAATACAATAATTTAAATATGACATCATAAATGCATTACATAACAATATCGAAGAGGATGCAGAAATTGTATCTTTCAATTTATAGAGCATACCAATATCTTTAGAAACTTTACCTATTAAATAATCTATGTGTGTATCCCAATGCATATTACTACTCATAAGTACATCAAGAAAATTAACTGTATCAATCTTAAGTAACGGAATATTATCAATTTTTAGAGTGAGACCACTTAGTGTATTGGCTATTTTATATAAGTCTTTTTATGGAATATTACAACATTTGTTTTACTAAGGTTTATCAAAAGTCTATTTGATTTAAACCATAAAGAAATCTTTTCTAATTCATCGTTGACATTACTTTCTAAATCAACAATATTTTGCTGCATATAAATTGAAGTAGTATCACCTGCATACATAATTTATTCACATTTATCAGAGGCTTTCTTGATGTCATTAGTTTATAGCAAAACAAATAGGGGCCAAGGATTGACCCTTGGGGTACACCGTGAGTAATACAAGATAGATCTGAACAATTACATATTGGACACTATTGTTAAGATAATTTTTAAACCATTGTAAGGGCTCTCAGTTTGAATCATCTGGAACCAGTTGCCGTCAACTGGAAACCAGATGTAATTTAAATGGATTCAGTTGGATATTTCAACTGGTGGTAACTGTTTTTTACTTTTGGGAGGGAAGGAAGTCCTGAGCTTCAAAAAGGCAGTTATCCTTTTCATACATACTTAGCATTGTCCTCCATTTGTCTTGGCATTGCAGTAGATACTTGTTACCTGATTTAAAGAAAAAGAGACGAAGAAATTCTGGTTTAGAGAGGTCAGTTATTGTGAGAAATACCAACAGAACAATCTGTCTACATTACACAAGTGTTGGGTCCAAGGACTACTTTACAAAGCAATAGAAGAAACAAAAAACGCACAAATAATCCCCTATAGAATCAATGTTAGTTTAACATACTGCATCCAAAAGGTTAATCATGAAGCAAGGGTATTATGTCAATATATATATATATACCGTGTGAGTCATACAAAAGTTTACACCTAGGAAATTGCTAATTATTTCAAAATTCATAAATGAACAGTAAATTATTATACATCTATTGAAAGATTGTTTTATCCCAAATCATTTGGTATCAATTTTGTGTTGTATGTGTTCACGCTTGGATGAACACGAGGCATTGTTTGCGAGAGTGCAAAAATCGACTTGCGCCAAAGTGTTGCGTACAGTATGTATTATGTTGGGATTAAAGGAGTGAGAGAATGAATTAAATGTATCAAATGAAATGCATTGCATATGCTTTTTGCAAAGGGCAAAGCCACACCACCCACACACACGCGCACAAGTGTACGTTGATTTTTGATATTCGATATGTCATATGTGTGGCATGATTCATTTTGTTAGGGATGTTATTTGGATCTGCAAAGACCGAATTAATAACTAAATCCAAATTGTTTTATTCAAACATCACATAAGCAACTTTGGCGCAAGTCGATTTTTGCACTCTCGCAAACAATGCCTCGTGTTCATCCAAGCATGAACACATACCACACAAAAATGGTACCATATGATTTGGGATAAAACACTCTTTCAAAAGATGTATAATAATTTACTATTCATAGATGATTTTTAAAATAATTAGCAATTGTCTAGGTGTAAACTTTCTTTTAATCACTCTGTATGTGTGGTGTTTTGAGGAGCTCTGGAATCTTTATCTAAATTCCAAAGAGGCTGCAATTTCGAGGAATTTTCTAGCAGTTTTAATCTGTTTATCCATGTAAGCTTTGGAGACATACAAGGTTCTGAGATAACGAGTACAAAGACGCACTGTATTCGAAGTGACATGGTCCTGTTTTTATTGACCTATCACATATCTATTTTCATCCATAACTTTAGATATTCCAGATACTCATTCCAAAAAGGATACTTAAACTGAACCACACTTACCTAGTCTTATCAGTGTCTCATACAATGCGTTTTGCATTTAGCATTGTTTAAAAAATACGTATTTGTCACAGCCATTGAGAAGAGACAAAGACTGTTCAAAAGGTTAAACAATTCTGAAAGAACATACACTATGACAATGACCTAATATTGAGTTACAAGTAAAACATAATATTCTTTTTATGTAAAACATAATATTCTTTTTATATAAAAAAAAAAAACTTTCAACTCCCTGAGTCAACCACTCCATAAAATACCATAAAGCTTACCGACAATGACAATCCCTCGTTTGGCCCTTGTCAAGGCAACATTCATCTGGTTATCATCGTTAATGAATCCAAGATGTCTCTTCTGCCAGCCTTTGCTTGGCTTTTCGTCAATCTCACTCCGAGGTTTGGAGCGCACGGTTGAGAAGACAACATAGTCCCACTCACTCCCTGCAGACAAATGAGTTTGAAAACCAACTTTTATTGTCAACGTAACTACACAAACCTCCTCTTTAACAACTCGCCCCTCTTAACTGTCAACCCCCGAACAATATGCACAGAGTAACACCGCGAAAGGCTTGTTCACATAATACTCACTATCTGTGCTTTACATTTCTGAATCTTCTAACACACAGATATTAAATTGAGTATATATATGTTTTCTTGCATGCAACCATTTTCATTTTCATCCCCACTTGTTTTCCACTTGGTACATAACAAAGAAACATGCCATATGAAGAAGTCTTCGGTAGGTTCCAAGGGAGAAATATATGATTGGTTTTCCGAGGGGGGGGGGGGGTGGTCAATCATTCTTATGTATATACATTGGTTACCAGTCTATTCTTGCAACCAGTTTAATACTTTTATTTGCACATTAATGTTAAATGGACTAGCTCCCTCGTATTCAAATAATCATTTATCCATGCTGCCCAGATTTATGGAATGGCCTCCCCAACCATCTTAGAAACATTAATATAATATATAAGTTTAAATCTGTCCTCAGTTAAACAAACACTTATTTCAAATGTGACACGCACCACAAAACCGACACAAAGTCACATACAGTGTTGTATCCAGTTAGAGCTCAATGCCGATTTTTTTTTGGTGTTTTTCAGCATTTCCTAAAAAAAGGTATACTTTTTGCTATGAAATTTAAAGTTATGGAAACACAAACAAATGTAAAAGTGTATTTTGTGTCTTTCGGAATATCAGTCTATCGTAGTTGTTTTTTACTTATTTACGAGTACGACCCTTGCTACTGGTCCCATTTTTCTTAATATCCAACAAGTTTAAAGCAGAGTAAGCCATTAAATTGATTTCTTGAATAAATAAAGAACTGGAAGTGTTTAATTAGAGTGCCAATATTCAGGACAATCGGATTATCCCTTAATAGACATGTATATTGAGTTTTATTCCTTTGTCACCTCGCACTGGACTCAGGGAGCTAGAGTGCTTCAACAGACTACAGAACTTAAACACCATTTTCTCCAAAGTATCATTAATAATAAAAACATTTTAATGCGCACATATCCACCCCAAGAGATGCTCAAGTCGCCTGGGACTGGAAAATCTTCTCTGTTTTAATTGAGTTGAGGGATATCCAATTTTCGCTATCTCCAATACTTTCTAATGCCCGGATGTTACTGTCATGGTCCCGTTCCAAAAGCACTCCGGGATAGCCCGGTGACATAGTCGCTTCTGGTCTATTTTGTGGGCCTGTACTGTGCCGTCCGGTCTCGGCTTGCGCGGAGCAAGGGAGCGGTAGCCAGGACTCAGTAGTCACCGAGCTTTATATGTATTGGATGGCGGTTCCCTTTACTTTGTCTTTTTTTAATAATATATCGTAAGCATTTTTCTATTTTTTCTACAAACTGAATTGTCAGTCAGAAATTCAGAATAGGGGGCTATACTGTGTACATTGTATCTGATGTATGCTGGTTGCACGAAAATAAACGAAAAAGCCTTTGATGATATCCCTGACTGAGAGATGTGACTTGGGTCAAATCTTGCACAGCGTGCAACCTGGGATAAGTTATTCCTAAAGCAAGACAAGTTTGAAGTCACTGCACGATTGAAACTCTGTTGGCAGCATTTTGACAAAGAACAATTACAAAATGATGAACATGCAGTGAGATTCCCTTAGTATGTCTTCTCAAACAATCATGTACTTGGAAACAAAATCCAAGGAACTCAGTAGCAGCCGACGAGAGGGAAATCTAGAAAAGGCTTTAGGATACGTATATTGCGCACGTCGGAAGTATGTAAGTCCTTCAGTGGCTCGATATAACCTCCAAGACATGCACGTCCCGGCATGAGTAATATATAATTTTAAAACTGAGAGACACCTCTTTCAGAATCATCCCTAAACTAACTCTTTCCTAGCAACTTTGTTGCGGTTTGTGGTGCTGGGTAACAAATGTTGAACAGGTAAAAGAAACACAATTGCGTATTCCCCCTTCTATTTCTTTCTACTTCTTCTCAAGCTCATGGAAGTAATAGTTAAGTAATGTGTTTTGGGCTGTACAAGAATTATTAAAAAAAGTATTATTATGTACTTGTTATCCTAAATGCCTACTCTTTGTAGGGAATATTTGTCCTGCTGTCCTCGGACCGATTGTCACATGGGTATTTATAGGATAGATTGTCACGTTGGGTAGATGTCCTTGGATATATTATCTTAAGGGGTATTTGTCCTGGATGAGATTGTTCCTGGGGCATTTGTCTTAGGACAAATTGTCCCATGGGTATTTGTCCTTGGATAGATTTTCATAGGGTTATTTGTCCTGGGAAAGATTATCATAGAGGGTATTTTTCCCAGATGAGAGTCTGGAGAAGTCATTCAGAGACGGAAAAAACTACCCTATATCCTTAAGTTACTGCATGTTACTGTATAAGCATGGATACATTCTGAAGACGGAACATGCTACCAAAAATTCACAACATTATAAGTAAGAATAGGAAATTACTAAAACAACATAAAACACTTTATATATAGAGAGACAGCAAGCACTACAGGAAACAGGTGTATTATTCATATTATTATTAAGCTTTACCTTGACTACTAACCACCGTGCTGACATTTATCTTTTGGAGAGATGCATTGCTGTCATTTCGAAGCCTTTCTTCAATCTTTGTACACTGGAGGCTATACTGAGACAAGACGATGATCTTCTCGGGTGACACCCTTCTTCTGATCATCTCTCGAACGATTCTGATCTGTGGTGGTTTAAGATTGGGGGAGAAGGGGGAACAGACTATGACAACAAACAATCTCACTCATGAGCAAAACCCCATTGCCAAAAAAAAAAAAAAAAAAAAAAAAAAACATAACCAGCCAAGAAAAGGGTAAATGCCATGTACATATTTCATTATAACTTAATTTGTACATGGCCATCAACGAAACATCCCACTACATGTATATGGACCTTGATTAGGCGAACAAATACAAGAACATTTTGTAAAGCTACATAATTATAAACTACAAATGTTTTTTTGTTTTTTTTTGTTAGATATATTTGATTGAAGGATGTGACATTTATACCTATTTTCGGTCATATTATAAAGTTACCTTTACCGGTTAGTCCCTGTGTTAACTCGTATAATGCACTGGGCTAATCCCAGTTGTGCCAAGCCCAAAATCCACTCATGCCGAGTTTATTTTGAGATAATCTGATTAACGCGATGGTTCTATGAATAGCGCTTGCGAAACACACAGCACAGTCCAATAGACATGAACAATAACTGCTATTACGAATGCGTGTAAGCATGCACAAGGCAGCGAAGCAATTGCTCGCTCGCATGTAAAAAGCACTATAACGGTAGCGTGCATGACAGGCTATGAGTTAAACAGTATCACATTATAATGATGGTAGGTAAAAGCATATGAAAAGCATTAATTGTATACGTCCATACCACGTGTTTAATCTCAGCACCGTTACTCTTTGAACCCTCGTTGCCTTCTTCTGACTTCACTGAGAGGGTGTCCTCTCGTCCATTCACATGGCAGAAGACTCTAGGCATCTCGCCATTGTTGGGCCAGATACTGTGGATGGGGTCAAGGCCACGCCCCTTTACAGAATCTGCCGTCTCCAGTCTGTCATCATAGAACGCCAAGGATGGGAATTCACATATCCGCTGGTGCTGTACATAGCGATGAAAGAATGAACAAGAAATTCCAGATAAAGTGCCAATATTACAGGGAAGTCGCAAATATTTCCATATACTTAAGTGTATATTAATGAATGGAGACGTTGGGTCCATCTGCATTTCATTGATATGCAAAACATTGCATTATGTATTCTTTGAAATATATGCAGTATATTGATATTCAACCAGTGGGATGCACTTAAAAATGGAGACTAATCGATTATTGAGTTTGAACAAAGCAAAATCATTGTGCTTCTTCAAACTAGTCTCTCTAGACACAATTAAAATAATAATATATTACTAATAAATATGGATTTATATGTCGTGTAATACATAATTCGATCTTCGGGCACTTTAGAGAATGCACAAGCAAGCACCATTAGTTACAGTCTGACGTGCCTTCCTGCCATTATCATCATCACCATCATCATCTTCATCTTCATAAACGCCATATATATCCTCATCACTAGTTAAAATGAGGTCACTTGTCTTGAGTAGAATTCTGAAAGTCACCATATTTATTTAGTAATATACACCACGTTTTAATTCTGCAATCTAATTTAGGATTACAATAATGTGATCTGCTTGAATTGTCATGTTACAAGAAAATTTAATCTACATTTAATGTTCGATTCCTAAGGCCCAAGAACAACATTTAGCCACTTTCTTTTATCTGGGGGTCACTATGCTAATTTGTCTTTCATCGGCAGTTACTTACTCTGTGGAATGTGCCCTTTTATTTCAAATTAGTTTTGTGTAGTATCTGTAATGATTGCTCATTGGCCAGGTGGGGCTCCTCTTGTTAGGGTGTCTCTCGTCACTTTTGCAGCAATAAATAAGTATGTCATGATGGTTTACTTTAATAGTCTGTAAGAATAAACCGTACCATTCCAAATCAGTTTGAGTCGTAATTAAAGTAGTCCTTTTAAACTTTGGTCAATGCTGCAATAACAGCCCTTTGGGTAACATTTTATGGGGCGTCTGTCAGGCCCTAATAAGCAGAAAATGTGTCTGGCATGGGCCGTTCAGTGCTTTGTAGCCTTCAACTATTACGGTAAGTTACAATTAATTTCAAGTGGTACTTTTTTCACTTGATCATTGCCCATTTGGAGCCTCATTTTTTTGTTAGTGTGTCTGTGGGCCCTTTTGCAGCAGAAAATTTGACTGACATGATTTCCGTAGTCTGTAAGATAAACCCGACCATTTCATACTGGTTTTGAGGGGTACCTTGCATATTTAATCTGGGTCAATGCAACAATAATTGGCTTTAGGGCCACGTTAAGGGGCCCTTAGCAGCAGAAGTTTTTGTCTAGCATGGGCCATTGAGTGCTCTGTGGCATTCATGCGTTTAGTTAACACTGGTTTCAAGTGGTACCTGTTTCGTTTGATCAAATGCATTTTGGTTAACCGGCCCCAATGGCCACATGCAGCAGAGGGACGCATTTGGTTATACTAGGGTTTTCCTCAAATGTTCCAATACTCAGATATTGGTACCTCGTTCGTTTGATCCAAGTACATTGGGCTGCTGGGCTACACGTTCAGTATCATCATCATCATAACCACCAGCAGCAGCGCTCATCATCACCACTGTCATCATCACCATCATCATCATTATCCTTATCATCATCACCACACTAGGCCCTAGCAAGCACCATTAGTTGCAGTCTTACCTTCCTGCATTATTCATTACATATTTACAGCACCAGGCTCTGTGCAAATCAAACAACATCATCGGTATTATCATTGTCATCATTATCATCATCATCATAACCATCTTCATCTTTATCCTTATCCTTATCATCATCATCATAATCATAACCATAACCATGATCATATTCACCACCAGCGTAATAATCACTATCATCATCGTCATCATCATCATTATCCTCATTATCACCGCCACTATTAGCAAATGGTATATTTGTTATATTTTGTTTTTAAAGATAAAGTTGAGTTCTGATCATGCGATTGAATTGTGTAAGAAAAGGTGTGGAATAGATCAGGAAAAATTGATCATGTAGCATGTAAGTATTGGTACGTACTGCAAGGTTCTGCAGTCATCAAAATCATAATAAATTTGGCCCAGTCTTGGTAAAGTAACAAGCACTTTACACAGAAATATGTATATCGGACTACACACATGGTGTCGGGCCTACTTACCTTGATTTCCTTATCTTTATATGCTCATTACTCGGCCAGTATACATTTTCTACCAAAATTGTTTGGCAAATTATATTTATTTATAATCTTTAACATTCTGTGTAAGTTTCGTTTGATTCTGTGGGAATTGGTTTTTCTTTTTTCTTTAACCAGAACACACGTTTGTCTTTTTAGGACCACACTCACCATTCTGTACTGGATGGTAAGCATCTCGGCTTTTTCTTTGTATTTTTCTAGCAGTGAGATATCCATTCCAAGCTGCTTAGCATTTGGCTCTGTGATTATTGACCTGTCAGCATCAAACACGTATTAGGCAATACAGTGACTAAGGAAAAAAATTGGCTCAACAGTATTTTCCATAGGCCATCAACACACATATTTATATCTCTATTGAAGAAAGGAATTGATGTCAACATCGACAACAAATCCTTCCAATTTCTCTCAAATACACAAAGGGACTTACATTAATGTATGAGCTCTATCGAGCATTTCTCCCTCTCTCTTTATGTCTACGGTTCCATGCTGGTATCCTTCAATACATCTTAATGAAATTATACTTTCGAATTAAAATACAATCAAAATATCGCAAATTCAGTGCATTGATATTTCAAAAGTGGGTTGCATGTACATCTCTTTAAGCAAAAAATCACATCTCCATGTATTAGATACAAACAGTATATTTAAGTTTCGAAGTTCTGAACTTCTCAAACTTCTATCGCCCAAAATGGCATTTTCCAATCCTACCTGTATTCAAAATATACTATTGTAAAGTGAGTGTGCAAGTTTTGATACACAGTGTCACTCATATACAAGTAATTTGTGATTGGATTATAAATATTCGTAATTAAGATTTCATGTGCACAAAGTTCATTTAGAGTCACCCAAAATCCCAAACAATGGATTTCTTAAATTATAATGAGTGGACAAATTGTGGAAAGAAATGTACTCTTCTTGCTATACAGTGCGTCCCAGAAAAAAACACCCCGAGAATTATCGATGTTTTATCATAATTTAGTCGCATTTATAATCGATATATAACACATGTTTGAACAGATTAGGACCTCCACTTCAATTTGATGCAACTCATATGATGCATACTTCACGCATGGGTGATTAAAATGTATTTGAAGAGAGGAAACCAAAAAGTAATTTGGCGGACGGTATCTGAATTTCAAAGAGAAAATCACATTTCTAGAAAGCTGAGTTTGTGCCCTTTCATATGACACCTCGGTCAGGAAATATGAGCTAGGAATAACAAAGTTTTGTTTGTTTAAAGTAGTGCTTGCATTTCCATAATTTGTATTAAACAAATGCGTTTTTACTGGCTGCCTGCTGTTGCAAAAAGCAGAATCGACAAAAAACTTAACACCCTTTCGTTGACAATCAGCCACACATGAAGTCTTTCGTTTACGGCTGATTTTATTATAAATGTGACTAAGTTATGATAACACTTCGACAATTCTCGGTTTCGTATTTTCTGGGACGCACTGTATATCCACAAAGTAATGGTCATTTAACCTTTCACCCTCCCTTCTTTAAAGAAACAAGGGTATCCCATAATACCTGAGTTGTTGATGATCTCCGACCAGTACCACTTGTTTGGGTTTCACTGAAACCAGAGGGATCAGAGTTTCTGGCTCGCTGCACATCCCAGCCTCATCAACAATCACCTGGATAATACGGGTGGATTCTGAGATGCGAGACGCTCCAGCGGCATTACAGGTACACAGGACTATGTGATGGTTCTTTAGTTCTTTTCTCTGCAGTGAAACAAATTATGAATCTGAAAGGGTACTAATAACCTTTACAAAAATAAAGGCCTATTCAATGGGATAATGGTTAAAGAGCGTGATCATATTGATCCGGTTGTCTCATTTTCGCCAGCACAAACGTAGGCTTGTTCGCGTATATAGCAGACGGCAATCGGCGGATCAGACGACACTTGATAGTGATCTTGTATGTGAGATTGCTTTGCTTAATATAAAATACAAGAATATTTTCCATATCTTTAAACTATCATTGATATCTGATAATTAATCAGTTAAATAAACCTACCGAACTACATAATACAATAAAATACTCGACTGAAAGTAGAAGAGTTTGATGTGGTGCACAATTGCATCCCTCTGTTAATAATCGAAAAGTCCATGGTGTTCATGAATATTAATGTTTTTGCTTACCTCGGCAAAATGCTTGCCTATACTATTAAATGGAAAAATTACGGTGGGGGGTTGGATGAAATGGACATAATGAACAAATAAGAACTAATCTGTGATAATTCATGCTTCTTATCCTTCGTGTGCTTGACTTATAAGCTTACAATCGCGTGGTAAATTGAGTCCAAAGTTCGGCTTGTTGTACATGTGTTACATAGGCAATGGCGAGTTTGCTACCTATTTTGATCAAATTACGGTGGGTGAACTTTCAAAAGTCAATGGGATATGAGGGTTCCAATGAAAGAGCTAGTGATAACGTAAGTCGGGGGGATGTGCTTTTCGTTTTAAAAAAAAATGAATTTTTAACGATTTTTTTTTTTTTTTTGGGGGGGGGGAAGTCCATAGGCTAACGTACATGTTAGGCTTCTGGACTCTGCTGAAAGGGGGCGTTCTCAAATGAGACTAAACGGAGCTATATGTCTATTCTATTCACTGGTCAATTTTACATTTAATGAGAGTAAATCGGAACTTACAATATCCCTTTCTATATAAGCTATATTCAAAGCTAATGATTTAAATATATGTGTAGTGTTGTATAATGACAAGGAACCACTAACATATAAAGAAAATATATTTTAGGTGATCGGAATCCATTAATATTATGCACATAGCTGCCAACCTAGAAAATAATAATGTATATCCAATAAGTGACATAAATTGCTCTCATCTAATATCCGATATTTTGTATTTACCTAGAACACCAATGTCCTTTACACAACTTTGTGCAATAAGTCTTTTTCTTAGTTGAAAAAATAAACACTCACCGTGGCCAAAAATATCTTGCTTTTGTAGTGTTTGATTTCCTTGGGAAGTATTTCACCTGGATATGTGTGAAATTTCCTCTCGTATGCCGCCAGTTCTTCTGCATGAGGCTTTCCACGCTTCCTGATCAAGCGATGAAGCGCAATGTCTGACAGCCCCTCTGACATAGAGGCTTCTTTCCTGGACGGCTTATCACCAGGGATGGGGTACTCTTCCTGCTCGATTTGCTTACTGTAGACTCGCACAATGGAGATGTTTTGGAACTTCTTGAGATTATCTAGGGCAAGTTTATGAAACGATGGAATAAACAAGATGACAAGAGCAGCTCTGACTTTAATTGGAAGTCTGATGAACAGGAATCCCATCTAATCTGGAAAAATCTTCAGAAAAAACTGTTTTCCTGGCCTTACAATGCGTTTGTATATAAATGAAACAGTTTTACATATATTTACAAATGGAAGGCCTTGATGGAAAATGTGTGTGAAAAAAATGCTATTATCTTTAGTGTTGAGAACCTTCAGGTTGCTGGCGCTACATAACCAGCTATCCCAGGGAAGATCAAACCCTATATCAAAGCTTGGTCCTCTCACCCTCTCATCAACCTTCCCAGGAAGCCCTTGGTTCAGTTGAACCTCCTACGATTAGGCGAAGGCCGCTTTGCAGCAAGCATGAAGCTCTGGAGCTCTCAAAGACTTGACCTGTGCTCATGTGGTCAAATTCAGAGTGATGAGTATGTTCTGAATAAGTGTGCTGTATAACCGGCCCCCACTCAGTGTTATTTAGGGTACGCATAAGCGTGTTCCCTCCTTTTGAAAACACCCCCTAAGTCCGGTGTGTAAAGTCAAATTTTGTGTATGTACGAGCCTGACTTTGGTGCGCGAAAAGTACCCCTTTACCGGATATTTTGGTAACACGCATGCGGTCATTCCGACCCCGGAGTCATATTGCTCCGATTGTCTCATTTTCGCTCGCGTGAACATTGCCAGCACAAACCACTGACCTCTACCTCCTGAACGGATCATCGCCCATTCCCATTCACTATACGTTACGTACTAAAAGGCTGTATTGTCTGACCGTTCATGAATATTCATGTTTTTGCTAAACTCGGCAAAATGTTTGCTTTTACTAAATGGAAAAATTACGGTGGGGGGTTGGATGAAATGGACATAATGAAATAGGCAGAAGTGATCTATGATAATTCATGCGTTTTATGTTTCGTGTGCTCGACCTATAATCTTCAAATCGCTTGGTAAACTGAGTCCAAAGTTAGACTTGTTTCACATGTGTATTATAGGCAATGACGAGCTTGCAACCTATTTTGAAAAATTACGGTGGGTGAACTTTCAAAAGTCAATGAGACATGAGGGCTCAAATGAAAGAGCTAGTGATAACGTACGTCGGGGTGGATGTGCTTTTCGTTTAAACAAAAAATGAATTTTTAACGATTTTAAAAAAAAAACGTCCATAGGCTAACGTGTTAGGCTGCTGACGCTGACCATGCTCTGACGATAGGGGGCGTCGTGAAATGAGACTAAACGGTGCCATATGGGGGGGGGGGCGGGGCGGGGCGGGGCTGTATAGCAGGATCGTCATGTCCCCCTCACTGATACAACCCACATCCGGTGTTATATTCAAGGGTGTTGAGAGTATGTTTAACGGGGGGAGGAAATGGACAAATAGACACAAAAAATCTCTCAAGTTTACTGTAATATTCTTAATTATATATATGCAAAATATACAGTAGGCTTGCGGGTGCACCATGTGAGAGAGAGAGAGAGAGAGGATTGAGGAGTCCTGAAAAGGACTCTCGGTAATCTTTCTTGGGGGGGGGGGGTGTGTAGTCCTGAAAAGGACTGTTTGTGTAGTCTTGAAAAAGACTACTGGTTATCTTTATTAGCTTATAGCTCTAAGGAGAACTATAGCGCTTGGAGAGGATGAGTGGCGGGAGTGGCTTTTCAGGACTCCTTAATCCCCCTCTCTCTCTCTCTCACTCTCTCTCTCACACACGCATGGTGCACCCAAAAGCCTACTGTATATCTACATCACCATGCAAGCCGACACTTACAAGCAGTATATGAAAAAAGTTTTCTAAAGCTGTCAATATGCAAGAAAATAATATTGGACCAACACATAACCATGCGGATTACGAAAAGGATTTAGTTCTTATGTAAACAAAGAAATCTGCCCCAATTGTGTGCGGGCAAGGACTGAATCCAATGACCGGGGTAATAGTATATTTGTAAAGCGCTTAGAGACATTTGTATTAAGCGCTATATACAAAAATAAATATTATTATTATTAATATTAACAGAAGGCAAAGGACACTATATTTCTATTATGGGATGATGGAAGCACGATTAAATCGTTTTGGCACAGCAGGACTAAATTGTTAAGGCACAATATACATATGTATTCACGAATTTAATTGGTCATCATCGAAGTGCATAAAATAGGATTTTGCAATTTTATTTGCATTAATATTGGTACTAAAAATGAAAAGAACTAACCGGCTACAACATCCACCGATTTGTTTGAAGGTCCACAGTACAGCACCTGTGGACGCATTTTGCTAGCTGGTAGTTTCTGATTGAGACGAGTGAAGAAGTACGCAAGGTAAGCTCCTGTTACAGTCTTTCCAGTGCCTTGAGGGGAAAGGAGATGTTTATATCAACTATATTATACACATTATAAATGCTAATGTGTTCAATTGAACAAAATAAACGAACCAACACATTCCTTGAGTGATGCAATATTTCCCTGAGGGAAATTAATGAATTTAGAGGGGAATGTTTGTTATATGGAATGATGAGCTGCATTCAATATTTGTTTAAAGCCCCACTGCACTACGTATAGCTACTTGCGCCATCTACATGTAAATGCTTCTAAATAACTCGCTTTTGGTGAACAAACTCTTGAACATAAATATCAAGGAAACGACCATGATCTCAAATTGCAAAGTTTTAAGTATGAACCATTGCGGGCAATGCAGCCGAAAAACTCACGCTTTCTCATAACTTGGAGACTGCAGAGTATAGACAATCATTGATAATAACAGTAATGCTGTGATTACCAATATCTTAAAGGTACTATATGTATAATATATCTTGAAGAATAAGTGGTTGAATTACGAAATGGTTTATTTCAAACTTCTGGAGAAGTTTTTTTGGGGAAATTTTGAGGCAGGAAGATTAAAGTTTAGTTAGAGGTGTGATAAATGTGACTTGTTTTCTGAACACGTTTCGTAAACAAATTTGGGATGCCAAAATTGCCACAAATCATATTTTTCAAAATTGTTAACCCGAATGCTAGGAAATCCTTCAAAAAAACCTTGAAAGATTATTTTTTTTTCATAACTTGAACGATTCTTTACATTTATTTGTTTGAAGCTCTCACAAGGTATTGTATATATTATTTTATATACAAACAATATGACTTCTGCAAATATATGGATTTTGTAAATGGCAAACAATGCCTAATCGGTGCATGTGGGTTCCCCATGATCCCCTTTTTCTTATGTTTATTCAGAGCTGATTTGATGAGATAACCACCTATCAGTGACCTTGCAGCGAGCTTTGACCCCCCCCCCCCCCCCGGCCAAACTAGTACAAATGGGATTTAAGAAATAAAGGGTATTAACTATCTCATCCGCGCATTACATTTTTGTTAAAAAGGAATTAAAAGTGTCGTAGTCGATTGGTTTAAGCACTTGACTTGAAATTCGAAGGTCGTGATTCGATCCCCGACACGATACTAATGTCCTTTGGCAAGGCATTAATCTTCATTTGCCACACTCGACCCAGATGAGGTAAATGGGTACCTGAAAAGAATTGATTCCTTGAAATGCTGGAGCACTGTAATGGCAGCTAGGCTATAAAGCCGGGGTAATAATAAATGCTCCTCGGAATAGAATTTCTAGATAGACGGCACTATGGACATGCCTATTATTGTTATTATTATTAATTAAAGGCATCGTTTAACAATGTAAAATCTGAGATGCACGGCCCTACGTGTTATTAGCGTCTGTGATATGGTGTAATATTGAAGCAAAAATTGCGCTTCAAAATGATCATGAAGTCCCTCTAAGAAGTAAAAAATCTTTGAGTGACCGGTTCTACCATACTCATTTTCCCCGATAGACTGTAGTGTTATGAAAACCGTTAAGAAAACGCAAAATGAAATTTCGATTTCAATCATAAATATCTTTATTCATGATAATGATAATCAGACAGGAGATCGGCTTGTACAAGTCATGGGATTCCTGAATGGCCTACAAGTTTATAATTATGATTGCAGCATATAGGCTAAATCAAGGATGAGACAAAGTTCCCGGATCCCCTTAAGAGTCAATTTCTCGAGTGAGGTTTAAGAAGCCCTACATGTCGTATGTGCATTGGAAACAATGGATACGTGTAGGAAATTGTGATGAACACAGTGAAATTCACTATTAAAAGAAGGAACAAAAGGGGAAAAGGGTTGTTATAATGCACGCTCATGCAAATATTAACACAATTTTGAGTCCCATGAAAGCTTTTTATCATGATACAGGTTCGAGGACTATTTAGTTATCCCATTTTGCTCAATTTTATTTTGAATGATTCGTCTGATTTTCCTGCTTCTATTGAAAGTAAACTATTTTTGGAGTGGACTTGATATAAGTATACAAAACACATACCGAATATATTAATACACGTACATGCATACAGTTGATACACACATGGGGAAAAAAATTATTGTTGTAATGGAAATCAAATCAATAACTTTCGGTTGCTAATAATTTTTTCACTGAAATAGATATAAGCCTTCGCACTTAATATTTCCCTTGTTCATGGACGAATTCCTGAAAATTACGAAGAACAGCACCTTTCCGATTTCGATATATGGAAAATAACAATTAAACAAAAATATAATTAAAGTTTTTGGAAAAAGACAAAATCACCAACAAAACATGTTTTATACAGTAGGCTTGCGGGTGCACCATGTGAGAGAATGTGAGGATTGAGGAGTCCTGAAAAAGGACTCATGATAATCTTTCTTAAGGGTTTGTAGTCCTGAAAAGGACCGTTTGGTATATTCTTGAACAAGGTATTGGTTATCTTTCTTAGCTTATAGTTCTAACGAGACCCGGTCCGATGAAGATACAACTTAATTTCAATGGAAAGCTGAATGAACATAGAATAAAAATATAAATTAATACAAAGTATTTTCATTTTTAGTATTGAACAAAGGCAAATTAAAACCTCATTTTCCGCACCCTCCAAATTAGAGGACGACATGGGACAAATTTGCCGCAGTCACGGTGACGGAATAACACGTGAACCCATTCGGCTCGCCTATTTAGCTGAGGCAATAAGCTTTGCTTTAATGCGAGGTGAACAACTTTCGATTTTCATAGCTCTAAATTTGGGGTCTTCGGAAAGATTTGACTCCTCTAACAGACACTAAACTTGCATATTTTTTTGTTTAAATTATTGTAATCTGTGGCTTACAAGCTTTCCGTTGATATGAAATTCAGACAGGGTCATGAACATCTGGCTAAAATAAGGCATGTTGTTCAAATGAAGTTTATGCTGGGCTGGGATTTAAACCATGTATCATGTGATCTACAGTCCGGTGACTTATCTACTAGACCACAAGTCATTGCTTTATTGAGCGAGCCATAATAAGAGTATGGATACATCTCTAATAGTAGCATACCCAGTGTTGAGCGGTGCCCATTTTGTGGCACAATTATAGAAAAGAAATGGCCTGAAATTTGAAACTAAGGTTCAGTCCACATTTCATCTGCATAATTTTGAAAGACATAAGTTACGATTTCTTTTTCTCCAAATGAATGGGAAAGGGAGTTGCATGCGGTGTAAAAACAACGTGAGAAAATTCTTACGGTATTTAACAAAAAAAAGATACCCAGCAAGCAATCTGTTTGCTTGGCACATATATTGAAGATAATGGATTAATAAATTCTTACCAGGGGGTCCTTGAATGACAGAGAATGTATTTTGGAGAGCTTTCTTCACAGCAGCTTGCTGGGAAGGGTTCAACGGATGCAGTGTCGACTCTGGTACACGCAGGTCTGTGAGCGCTAACGCTTGGGATTCCCTTTGGAGGATTCTAAGGAAATTAGCTTCATCAGAGAGATGGAAGTAATATCAAAGAAAATAGGTATCCATAAGTTATAAAAGTGAAGTTTATTTATTCTACATTTTACATCGAAAAACACTTTAAATTATGTTTTTGTTTTTTTACAAGCGTATAGATTTCATACACAAAACGAAAATAAAGATTTCAAAATAAGGATAATGTACGAAAAATAATTACAAAGTTTCGAAATATATTTAAATTACAGGCAAGGTATTAAAAAAAATATTTAAAAAAAGAGTAAAATGTGGGGAGCCTAAATTTCGAATGACTGGGTTATCAAATATTTAATAAGATGGTGATGTTCTCCATATTTGAGATATTGATATTACTCTCTATTTGAGTGGAGATAAATTAAATTCATCCTTTGTCTAATATCAACATATTGAAAAGCCTTCAGTGAGTCACTTTGCAATCGATATTTCTTCATATAGTGATGCCGAATATTATACATTAAGGTCTTCGAATGAATCCTCAAGATAAAGAAAAGTAGAAAAAACAAGACAAATGCGACTTTCTAACCAAAATGCCTCGGCCTAAATTAATATAAAATCCTGGATTCAATTATTTAGGAATATCACGGTGAGAACAAAGAAGCTTTACCTAACATGTCCTAACAATAGAACTTTATGACCTTTCACCTTTGACCTATGACATGCAAATCCGAAATTCTGAGCTTTTGGTTGAGTTGAGCACTAAAATAGCGTAAAACAGTCATTAATTTGGCCATACCAAGGTTAAACTGACCTTAAATTCCATGTATATTGACCTGCTAATATATTTACAGTTGACCTTCTTTTACTCAAAATATAATCAATTTATCTCACTATGCTGATGCTGATGCACGCTAATTGGTATTAGTGTGCATTATTCATAATTCATGGATCAAATCGGACTTGATAAATGTACACTGCGATAACAGGGCTAAAACCCTGAGATCTTTTGTTACCATGACTCCTTCTAATTTACCTAAGTGCCAATCAGGATGATTCGGACGTTGCAAGACGATGTCTCGTTGCAAGACGATGTCTTGTACCAACACCGGCACCCTCTCTGAGTCCACACCATTTACAGCCACTTCTTCTCGTCTGCAGTAAAATTAAATACACATGACTCATTAAAGCCTAAGTCCACTCCAAAATGTATTTGCTTTTAATAGATGCAGAAAAACAAGAGAAACGGAGCAAAACAAATTGAGTAAAATAGGAAAACTAATAAGGAAGTTTTAAGTTTAAAGTATGAAAAAGTATAGAACCTAGAAATCCCTATTAAACAAATTGCTAATTTGGTTATCAGTTTGCCTCACTATTTATCAATTGCTTTATATATATATTTATCCCATTTATTTTCCTTTTTATCCCCGAAAACTTGATTTCCCCATGCTTTTGCCCAGGCTATATGATTTGTATCATATGGCATGCATGATATGTCACAAAATCTTTCACGAACTTTGAAGAATTAATACTATTTTCTGAATATTGTATATTCATAATCATTGATTTTCATTTAAATAGTCTATACAATTTCACATTTTTCATGATATAACTGAAACAAAATTACACAAGAACATATAACTATCAACATAACTTGGATGCTCGTGTGGGGAAATAAGATTTTCAAGGGGAAAATTAGAAATTTATATATCCAATACAAAGAAAACAATTAGTGTGTGAGGCAATAACGTCACATACTTATGAATAGGTTGCCAATTTGTCTTGTGATTTTCAGTTTTTAATGTCATCAACAATTCAAAACTTTCTTATTAGTTATCTGATTTTGCTTCAACTTGTTTTGATTGGTTCGTCTGATTGTTCTGCTTTTATTGAAAGTAAGTTATTTTGGAGTGGACTTGCCCTTTAAAGGCCAATCATCGTGCTCTGTTTAATGCAGCTATTTTGGGGAAAAAACAGAAATAATTATATTAAGTTTTGAATTGCTTGGTACTAGCAACCCTACAATTCAACTACATTAAATGTAAATCACAAAAATAATTTTCCATTAGATGATCCTCTTTCAAAGAAAAACTATTCAAACATTGACTGCTCATCGGTAGTAGAGAGGAACAATAACAATATGTATAAGAGATAATGCAACTAATGGGAATTGCTCTTAGTCTTCTTCTTTGTTATGTGTATTGCTTTGGGTGTTATCTGCGATTAAAGGCTCGTTCATTTTTACAACCTGTAAGTGAATGGCAATTGCGCACAAAGAATGCCTTACAGGTATCTACGAAGCTCTTTGTAACAAGGAACAATAATGTTATTTACCGCGTCATATCCGAATGAAGCGAAATAATGGCCTAAATCTGTTTATATTGAGCACTGAGTAGACCTACCTGTTTGGCTCTGGTTTAGAAATGAACTCCACAGTACTTGCAACATGATGATCATTACTCTTTTCTGGAAGTGGCACGGACTTCTGATGCACTACAAAGTGGACTGGAAGTGACTTTGAATTTGTACGAAGGAGCTGTTGGCATGTGCGACAATGCTGAGAATCCTCGCCTGTCAATATCCTGCAGTGGAGAACACACGTTTGCTTCTCCCAGTCTTTAGCATTGAATGGACCTACATGATGTCTGCGTTCTCGGTTATCATACCCCTTGATCTGTAGCAGAGGCTTGGTTTCCACGTCAAGATTGACCAGGTGTATGCACAGGTAATGATAATTGCTCTTCATTTCTTCTTTTGTTTTCCAGATCTTTATGTGGTTAACTTCAAGGAAATTCTTATCTAACTGAAAGTGACCTGTGAACTCACTTGAAGTTTTCTGCCATGTGATTGGCACTTTCTGTATAATGATGGTGTCATCATCGCTGACTGCGTTGTGGCAGGAGATCATAGACAGGATTTGAAGCCATTTTGACTTGTATGCTGTAATGTTGTTCTCCTTGCCTGGAATGTCAGTGGCTATCCTTGAGAAGCACTGAACGGGTTGTGATCGATGCTCTGCACAAATATCCAAGTGAGGAGTCATGTTGAAGAGTTGTACTTTTGGAGTAAGCATACCCTTCATCATCTGTGCATGCATCTGGACCCTGCAGGGATCACCCAACTTGTAGCTTCGTTGGAAACGCATAACTCCCGCTTCCCTCTGTTCTGACCTGTCATCCTGATTTCCTCTCCTCTGTGAGAAGGGGTTCTCACTACCTTGGGCATGGATCTGTGCTGTCTCAATGGCAGTCCGAACTTCCTCTAAGTTTCCATCCCTATACATACTCTTGATCGATTGCAGGATCTCTTGCCATTTGTCCTTTGGAATTGTGACAGGAACGTCTGAACATGTGACTCTAGTGCTGGCTGGTGATTCTGCTCGGCATTTCCTGCTGTAGTCATACATGCTACACTTCCATTTAACTTGAACATCTGTGAGACCTTTATTTACTACTGGTTTCTCGGAGGGCTTCAGAATACTAAAGGGAATTACTCTCCGCCTAGATTGGATGTATCTACGATACGGGATAAGCAATTTCATGGATGACTCAGTGATCCCTTCTACAAACGTTGTTACCTGAAGAGGAGCTTCCTTGAGCTTCAGAGCCAACTTCAGCTCTTTTGTGGCTATGCCGAAGCGCTTACTTTTGGTATGTTGATTGTTGTAATGATGGGTGATCTCAGCCATCTCCTCAGCAGTGTAAGGGCATTTGCTATTCTCCATGCAAGCAACAAGCATCCTATGCACAACAAGGTCAATGTAACGTCTGATGGGTGAGGTGAATTGAGTATACGCTCTCATCTGCAGAGAATAGTGTTCTTGCTTTTCTGGCGTGGTTTCGCTTGTTGATACGACGTATTCTGCAGATTCCATGATGGCGTACAGGTTAGACTGAGCCACTGCATGTTGTGGGTGGTTTTCATCTTGAAGTATGAGATTAGCCATATCCTCCATATGACTTCTCGATGCATTTTTTGATTCACAGCATTCTTTGACCTTCTCCCATACTTCTGCAGCAACTAGGACGTCTTCTCCACCTTGATTTTCTTCTTGAACGTCATGAACTGCATCATTGTGATTAGGATTCACAAGTTCAGGAAGACGAATACTGTTTCTTGCAGTGTTATCATGACATCTTTTCCATGTCTCTACCTTCTCTTGCGATGGTGCCAGCTGCCTATGAAGTGGTGTACACTCAGGAAACCTGGTAAGAACTTGTTCAGCAACAGCATTATTGGTCATCAGCATCAGCTCTTCGATTACGCTGTGGGCATGTGGAGAAGAAAGTGCCCCTCCATCATCGTCATCAGCATTGTATACCATCTGTCCATCTCCCAATCGCTGCTTTCGGCGATGTTTTGACAGCTCATATAAGTACCTAATAGGTTCTGCAACACGCATGTATAGATCACAAGTATTGCTGCTGTCAAAAATCAACTCCTCTGCCTCGTCATAGGTAAGTCTCTGACATGATCGAATCACGGACCTTCTAAACATAGGCTCCGCAACGATCTGCCCTTCATGATCAAGAGTGAAAATGACTGACAATGCAAGTCTATCCTGTTCCGGGAGCAAGCTTAGAAGCCTTGAGATCACATCCTTTGGCAGCATATGATAAGCATCACTTTGGAATGGATGGTAGAATGTTGTACCCCTCTTGTAGGCATCTTTATCCATTGAACTGTCCTGTTGAATGAAGTAGGACGCATCTGCAATGTGTACACCAACTTCATAGCGCTGTCCAGGTAGACAGACACAGCTGATGGCATCATCCAAGTCTGTGGACCCAGGAGGATCCACAGTGAAGATGGTCCTTGTCGTTCGGAAATCTTCTCTTTTCTGAACAGCTTTATCTGGAAGACTCCATCCTTCAGGGAAATCTTGCTGCATTTGTTCTCTTGCAGCTGGCTTACATTGAGTTATGATGCCATGCACAAGTTGAAGGATGTTAAGCCCCTTTTGTTCTGTATCGCCATGATCCAACTCTTCAACAGCTGCTCCCAGTGGATATTGAGCCTTTTGGGGCCACACGATATAGCGAACAACAAAGAGTTTATGATTTCTCTCCGCTTGTGTAACCTCTACATCTTTTCTAGAGCTGCATTCAGTTCGTGTTTTTGTCAAACTCTCAAACAGTGTAACGACAGCTGCATTATTCTCTGAAGCGCATCTTCTTCCCCTTCCCAGGATAATCATATTAGGAGACGAACGGTCAATAGGCACCATAACATTATCATTCTGAGGATGAATGTGGCACACAAACGTTTGTAACTGGAGATTAGCATTGTGTTCAATGATGCCTACTACCCTTCCAGAGATCTTTATTTCTTGTTTGGCATCATCATCTTCTTCAACTTCTTGCTCATCCTCATTTGTTAAGACCTCTATAAGAATCTTATCACTGTTGAGGGCATGTCCTCGACGCTTTACATTCATGATGGGTATCTCATCGCCTGACTTTCTGTCTTGGGGGACAGCATATGTACGTCCAGTGATTTCTTGGCGGAAGATACAGACCTTGTACATGTCAGGGCTTTGAACAGCTTTGCGACGAAGTTCTTCAACATCAGTCTCTTGTGCCTCACAAGAGGTATCCACTCTTACATCATTTGGATCATCTGAATCATATGAATCATCTTGTAGAAGGACATAACGACCTTCTCTCTCCACTATGCGTAGGTTCTGTAGCACATGTTTATTCGTACGGTTTGTTACACTTGGTACTGTAGCTCTTGTTGCAGATGGTGTAGTTTCCCCTCTTTGTGCGGTCTGTAATCTTACTCCAGCTTCTAGCTCCTGTATATGTATGGCATCTCGGCCATCAGATTCTTGTCCTGATGCAGCCTCTTCCCCTTGATCTTCGGCCGACACCTCTGGATGTAATCTCCTATACTCCTCAGCCATGTCCTCATTCACTTGAATCTTCAGTTCTTGAAGCCATTCATCAACAAGCGGGGCCTCCTCCTCCTCGTCTTCATCATCAGCTGCAGACGCAGCAAAACCGGCACCAGGTACAGGGTATTCACTGGCACTTCTATGTTGCTTTCCAGTCCTCGGAGAGCAACTTGGCACTTCAATTGCTCTACTGACTGTAGGTCTTGCAGTTACAATGTGAGGGGTTCCCCTGCCGGCTGCACTGTGAGCGGAATCTCTAGGAACGAATGCTTTTGCACTAGGGTTGAGCAGACGTTTGGCATTTGCAATCTCATTCTGGACAGTAGCCATCGTTAGGCCTTGTTTACTATGGATGGCATCATTCCTCTCGCATGTCATGATGTATCTCTTCCATGTCTTCTGGCATTCCCCTGCTGAACAGATTGCTACAGGATCACCCATGACAGTTATGAGAGACTGTGCACGGGTAAAAGCTGTGTTCAGAAGCCCTTTGTCTGAAAGGAATCCATACCAGAACTTGTTTCCCACATTTCGGTCACCTACTTGGGGGAGGGACGTGGTGTCTATCTTATTTAACGAGGATCTCGTTCTCACAGTGCTCAGAAAGACAGCGCGATACTGCTTCCCTGTACAAAGTGGATTAAACATGAAAATATATTTTGTGACTAAATATAACTTATAAACTAAATACTTATACACTTTACGAGGGAGAAAAATATGTCTGAAATACATTTTGGCTTCCCATTGATTACATTCAGCCAATAAGAAAAAAATTGTATCGAAATTTACATTGGACTCATTATTGTTAGAATTTATACATTTGCACAAATTTACAACATAGTAGTGCAGAAAGCTCCATGACGTGGAATGTTAAATAATGAAATCGTACATTCAATTGATAATAGTTGCCCATAAACACATTCTCTGTTCACACTATTTGTAATTCAGAATAGGGGATAGTTTTAACGTATTGACACCCTTTGATGCATGATCATGTATTGCCAAGACTTGGATAAGTATCTAGTAGGCCTGTGTCATTATGGATTTTGCAGAACAGGGATAATAATTTCTCGTTCAACTAGCCAAAATTTTGATATGAGAAATTGTCCTGCAGTAGTCAGCGTGTGAAAGCAGAGAGGAATACATTTGTAGGCCTAAAGCTATGATAACAACCTCCAAAAGTAGCCTGCTCGGCGGCCGGACGGCGAATATCGCACGGCCGACCGCCCGGGCACCGCCTGTTTTTAGTGCATCGCTCGGTCGCCGCTAAAATTTTAGCGCGGAGTTAAAATTCGGCGCCTGCTTACTTTTCACTCGCCGCCAAAAATACGCTCGGTCTCTGGGCGTTCGCCGCCAGGGCACCGACTTAATCGAGCGTTCGCCGTCGAGCGATTAAGATCAAAAATCGATGCCGCTAGGTCAAAGGCTGCCGAGCGGTCGCCGCCCAGTCTTTAATTTATTGTCCTACTATTTCCACTATTTCGTGAGTGTATATTTGTTTAAAATTGGTGCATACCACATTGTAATTCAAATAGTCTGACCGGCATGTTGGTCTCATGTGTGGTAGCCTATCGTAGACTGCCCAGACGTCAGTGAGTCATATTTTGAATTCCGTTTCTGAACAAGCTTGGTACCGCGAAGCTTGAAACCTTTGTTCCACCTTAAATATTAGAGCCCTGAAAAGTCCAATCGTTGTCATCTAAAATGATATCCATTTATTTTTACATTATTAATATTGAATTCAATTGAAATTCAGTTCGTTAATTTTAAGTTCAGTATCGCCAAAACATCAAAATTCAATTTTGAAATACCCAAAATATTAACAATTCAAACCAGGGTTTTTAGCGTGACGGTCGGAAACGCAAGCGGGGAACCGTTTAAAACTCAAGCCTACTATCCAGTCAACTGGTTCAGCAGAGTATCTTTGGAAAATTACCTTGCACATTCTGCACTGTCTCAACCGTCACAGCGTGTAGGCCTCTCTTCCTCATCTCTTTTCGGATTACCTCGACCTATCAAAAAAGGCAAACAATTTTCCTTTTAAGACCAAACTATAACAAAAAGTATTAAAGCCAAACAGGCTAAATCTTGAATATTTACCGGTAAAAGTGTGCTATATTTTTCTAAATAAACTGGTTTAAATACCCCCTAAAAAATAAAATAAATACAAAATATAAAAATACATATATATATATTTATATATGTACATATAATAATATAAAAACCTTGAGCAACCTTGTGTTAGAAGAAGAAAAAGAAAGGAGAAAGAACTTAAAAAAACTTAAATTCTAAAATGTCCGTAATTACCTATTATTATGTAGCATTTCTCAACCTTTAAACTACGAATTTATTGGTTGGGGTTTTAAGGCAAAGAAGGCAACATTGATTATTGATTTTTGTTTCGCTTCTGTAAATGTTAAAGAAAATAAGATGAAATCAACACAGGATATTTGGTATGCCTGAATAAGGAAACTATTTTTGATCTATATAGCTATACATCCACAATGGCTTAACGTGCTTTACAGATACACAACAAACTTCAAAGCAAATACCGGTTATCAACATCATCTCAAATCAGTGAACTTTGAGCACCGATTCTCAAAGAGGACACTTATTAGAACTTTGTATACAGGTGATAGAACCACAACAATATTGTACAATAACATTTAAACTATAAAACACCTTACTGCTTTCAAGCCAATGTCCATGTACATGAACCGATTTCCTTTAATGTCATATCAATGGAGTAAATGTCATGCTTTGATTAATACTTATAAACAAAAGGATACTTACCTGAGCTCTGTAAGGTGATAGTACCACAACGTCACTCTGTTTGGGTCTATCCCACTCTTCAGGCCAGTGCTTCATCAATGAAGCGACGTATTCTGCAATTATCTTTGCTTCCTCTGCATTCATGTATGATGTCCCAACAAGCTGATCCTCCCCCCGCACGTCCACAAAGTTGAGAGGAAAGAGGTTGGGGTGGTCACTGCTGGTGCTATTTGATATGAAGGATGTGCGATAGTGCACCTTCAAGAAGTCTAGGATGGGTTGGCAGCTCCTGTAGTTGATGGTGAGGTTGCAGCTGGCGTGGCAGTCATTCTGTTTGTCATATTTGAAAAGACGCTGCAGCAGGGACATGTCGAACTTGGCCCCTTTCGTGCGGGGAGAGTGCACCTGCAATTTTTGAAGAAATCACAATCGTTGATCGGTGCTCATGTTTTGATTCTTAGATCTAGACATTCAATAGATCATGGGTGACCTATGCTTTGAATACACGAAACCCCTCCAAGTAAATTGAGCCATTTATTTATGAAATTCACAGTATGATAATTCACAGTCTAGTTTCCTAGCATATTGGCTTGTACTTTACCTGTGGGCTCATCTGTTTCGGATCGCCAGCCAGCACAACACTTGTATCCTCTGTTGCTAGGGCTAGCGGAATGACGGCCTCCGTCTCTAGGGCTTGCCCGGCTTCGTCTATCACAATGTGAGAGAAGTATCCACGCAGTGTAGCTGTTTTGGTGAGGTGCACCGCTGTCCTCAGAGTGACTACAACTATACTGGGGCCCTTTCTGGAGACCCAGTCTAAAAACAGATGGGTCAAGAATTCAAAATATTAATCTGGTTTGTAAAGAGCTATCATTATGGGAATATGATTATATCATTTATCAAAGATATACAAAATCGTTCTTTGGAATACTCAACTATTCAAGAAGAAAAAAATGAATTAATAGTAATACTGGTAGTTAAAATAAAGTAGCATTAATACAAATTTCCAAATGATGATAATATTGATTATAACTAGGCTTTAACCAAGCTACCCTGCATGAAATGTTGATCAAGCATTCAAGGAATAACTTTAGACCGGGTACCCATTTATTCACTTTAACTGGGTATAGAGTGTCTAATGTACTAGGTTAAGGTCTTTCCAGAGTGTTATTGTTATCGCAGGGATTCAAACCCAATCTCTACATCAAGACCACTGTCATCCAGTACTCCCGGCTCCTACAGACAGGCTGACCTTGAAACTCGGTGACCAAAATTGCAGGTTTTACCTTGACATTCCTCTTCGGTTGGCAAACGAGGTCCTGCAGCATCGATGAGCATGTATTGCTTCACTGGATCTCTAACCGTGCTTAGTTTCCGCATTGTTGCGTACACACGCACCATCCAAATATCAGGACTATCTTGACAGAATCCATGAAGATAATCTCGTATGTACAGATCAGCAGCACTGTAAACAGGAAATAAGGATAAGAACAAATACATTTTACTGCAACGGCCAGCAAGGAAGCATTACTAAAATGATTAATAACAAAACAAATAACTGAGCTTTTATGAAATATAATGGAACGATTTTTTTTTGTATAAATAATAATAAATTACATTTTTAAAGGACACATGTCACCCCGCACCACAAAAACGCCATAAAGATGCCAGAAAAGACTTTCTAGCTTAGGGTTGGTCCTGAAAGAAAAGATTGTTAACTTTAACATGATATATTACTCATCAATATAACCCTAACGCAATCAAAAAAGAAAAGCATGTTAAGTTCAATATAGAAACATGGTGTAGAGAAAGATGTGTTTAAAGTCTGTTGTCTATTTACCACTTTTACTTCGAAGGTCGTGTGCAAGGTGACAAAAGGAGGATTACAACTCTATAAATATTTAGAAGGAATAATCAAATTGTCCTCAAACTTGGCACACTAACTAATCACGTACTTTCCATTATTTCTTTATGGCATCAATGTAATATCTTAATGTTTTAAAGTTATTTGAGATCGAAATGAGACCAGTAGCAAGGGTTGTAACAAACCAAAACTGCTAAAACAAACTCAAAATTAGGAAGACATGGTCCACAAAGTACAGCCAAAATACCAGTTTTAAATAATTGTTTTGCTTCCAAATTTTGAAATTACTTAGAAAAAAGAGTATGATCATCCTGAACAAATACACCTTTATTAAAGGTACTTAGTAACATTGTGATGGTTGATTTCACAAATCTGTTGAATCAGGATCCAAAACACGTAAAATTATGTTTGTATGTATGGATTATCCAACTACGATGCCCCAAATCCGAAATTAATTCACGCAATATGAAGATTTTTTACAAAGTTCAACGGGTTTTCGAACGGGCGTCGATGTGCGGCGCTTCTGAATCTAAATTCTCCCAACCATTTTTTAATTTTCCAAACCGTTTTTCCATGAAAAAAAGACATAAAACAGGCTATACAAAATCTGATAACTTAAATGTCTGGAATGGAATGTACAGCCATTTTATTGCTTTATGAGATTTCCATTCACCTAAAATGTAATTAAATTGTAATAATATAGTTGGGAGAATTAAGGAATCGATCGGATCAGTTTTTCCCAATTTGCACCATGAATAATGGTCCGTTTTTGCTCAAATTTTCAGGTTATCTTTAATTGTACATCTAGCATTGAAGTCACTACCTTAGCACCACTATCTGTCATCTGAACAATGTTACAAAGTCCCTTTAAGTCTTACTGGAAACCACACTTTGCGTCTTTTTGGTGGCTTTGTGTTATGGTGTCACAAATATACTTTGTATCATAAATAGTTAAGAAGACAATTATGATGGATTTGCAAATATATATAAATAAAACCTATAATACACCAAGCATGTTAGTTGTTTGATCTCATGGTTTGTAGTAGTAGGATGTTAGGAATCGTATCTGGACACCCAACCCTTCGACAAGCTTCCCCGGATAATCACCCCTAGGAAAAACACGCTCTATGACAACTACCCTCCAGACAATTACTCCCTAGGACAACCACCCTCTAGGACAACTATCCCCAGACAACTACCGCCTAGGACAACCATCCTCTAGGAAAACTACCCCCACACCACTACCCCTTGGATAACTATCCTCCGGGACAAGTACACCCAGACAACTACCTTTAGGGCAACCGCCCTCTAGGACATATACCCCCTTGACATCTACCACCTATGGTAACTACCACCCAACTACTCCCGGATAATAACCACTTAGAGTAATTATCAATCGGGGGTGGTTGTCCTAGAGGGTGGTCAGAGGGGGTAGTTGTCTGGGGGTCAGTTATCCGGGGGTAGTTGTCCTAGAGGTTGGTTATCGTAGGGGGTAGCTGTCTGGGGGTAGTTTTCTGGGGGTAGTTGTCCTAGGGGTGGTTGTCCTAGGGGGTAGTTGTCCTAGAGGGTGGTTATCCTAGGAGTGGTTATTAGGAGGGTGGTTGTCCAGGGGGTAGGTGTTCTAGAACCGTTGAGCAAATTGCATGTACTTTAGAGATGACCAAAACTGACATGGCTTTGGAGAAATCTCCAAGAGATATCATTTTCAATCTGGGAAATAGCATGGATTTTATATGAATACCGTACTTTGTTTTCTATACGTATTGTAGAACAGCCTCTGAGGAACTAATAATTCTTTGCTTTTAGTTAGTTTCTCTTTTCTCGTGCCTTTACTATTATATTTATTAATTGTTATGTTTCATTGTATATTTTCTGTTTAATACTTATTCATTGTTATTATGTTTTGCATGATAAATAAAATCAATTGAATTGAATTGAACAAAAATCTAGACCCCTACTCTGCCTTACTTCTTCTTTTTTACTCTTCCTCAGTTGGTGCTTACATGTAAAATATATCCTTTCAATATATTTTTGTATTGCAATAGAAAAACACCTCTATCAATTCTGGAAATTGTATTTAAAAAACACCTGTTTGAATGAGTGCAGATCAAGAATTTAGCATCCTTTCTCTCTGTCAAAGTTCTCTGTATCGCTGTGGCCAGAGTATGTGTCTTTCCTGTCCCAAATGGCCCTAGGATCATGGTTGGACCACTAAAGGATGTAGCTTTACTTCCTCTTGTTCCTAGTGACTTGATAAGGCGGACAACTTGCTCCTGTCGCCTGTTCATACCTTCAAAGCAGTCCTCATCAGCTACTTCCGGAAACCTATTTTGAACCAAAAATCCATATTCTGAAATGGATACATGTATTTGTTTTTTAAAATTATCACACTACTGTACATGTTCTTATTTTCAATTCAGTTGCTTGTTTGCTTTGAAATATCCGATGGAAAGGCAGCTTTAAGTAACTGTGAAATATTTCATTTCAATAGTTACATGTTTATGTATAGGAACATCTGATTTTAATCATGTAGTGATTTGTTGCCAACTTCTTCTTCTACTACTGCTACTAATACTACTTCTACTACTACTTCTACTACTACTACTACTACTACTACTACTACTACCGCTCCACTACTAATACTACAGCTGCACTACTAATACTAATTCGTATAATAATAATAATAATTGCACATGTAGTCCGATGTCTGCCCAAAAGACACTAGATCTACGATCAGCTAAAGTGTTCAAACCAATTGACTTGACTCATTTACAAAGTCACCCAACTAAGTCTGCTTTAATAGATTCCTTAGTAAAATGTAGTGGCAGGAAAAAGATGCGTTTGGAACGCAAGAGGTGTAGGAGTTTGTAGTGATGTTTTTAACATGTTTATTTGGGTCCTGTCTTATAAACAGTTGCGATTAATCGCAGGTTATTGGCGATTGATATCAATCGCAACTTTGAACATAAGCGGTAGGAGACTGCAAACCTGCAATCGATTAAATGACTTGCGATTGATTTGGATCAATCGCAACTCCGTCTTTTTAAGCCTCATCAATATAGTACATGTATTTTGCGTTATTTTTGGTGCAGCTATCTTTTTCCATACCACTCATCTATAGTGCTAATGATTTAGATAAAACAACGGCTGACCTATTCGGCTGCTGTCCTTTGGGAAGAACAGTGTCCATACAACTCAAGCTATCCACAGCATGATGCATAGAGAGAAATCGCTCTCGACTGATGCACAATTGAACGGTCACTGACACATTCATGCCTCCCTTCAATTGACGCTCCTTCACACATGATGACCCAAGGGTAATCACAATGGCACCCTTCTCAGACCGCACCTTCAGAGCCTCATAGACTACATCTGACTGCTCGTGAAATTTGATGAAGACGGTCACAACAAAATCCTGGACTAAACGAGAAGCTTCTGAGTCATCGTGAAGCGGCTTGTCAAGGGTGATAGTCCCAAACAGCTCTTCTCCTTCAGCACCAAGGAGAGAATCTTCCAGCTCGACATGCTTGGATACTTTCATTTTGGTTACTGTTCGGTATCTTGAAAATGGTATACAAATGGGATAATTGTATTAAAAAGTTGTGAATGAATATCGAAAGCCATATACCTTTTACAAAATATAAAAAGATAAGCTATCAATGATCCCTATGCATTGGTGTTGAGCTGTCAACAATAGGGACTTTTAGATTTGCGTGGACTGATACGTTTGACGTCCATTCAAGGCAGTGCATTAAAAGGACGTCAATCCACATTGTCGTTCGGCAATTCTAAAAGTCCCTATTTACAAATGATGACTAACGCCTGTTGGGATGGTAACATGCTGACATGAGGGCAGGGATAAGGTGTTGACAAGCAGTGTTAATTCGACACGGTATTAGTTGTGGTATGTGACATGATTCGGGGATTTTAGCCTGTCTTGGCTAGTATCACTGGTATAGACATGTGGAAGGGTGGAGACGAGGACGTCGCTAGACTCTTTTCAGTGGGGGTGGGGGGGTTACACTGTTAGAACGGTGTTTAAAATATCACTGTTTAAAAGAATGTTGTTTAAAAAAGTAAAAAACGTTGTTCAAAATCGAAAAATCAGTGCTCGATTGGCTTAAACAACTATCTATTTAAAAAAAGAAGATTTAATTAAACAGAGTTGTTTAAAAAGTCCCGGGGGCGTCGTTGATATTTTCTCGATACGCGATTGCAATTCGCGCACACACATGCGATATGCACAAAGTACGTACATAATACATGCATGCAAGCATGCAGTGCTAGTGTGCAGTGCAGTGCAGACGAAAATGGCGGAACACGGGGCAAGGCGACGACTTGGTTCTTCTCGGCTTCGCCGATGGGGTTTAGGTGAAGTTATAGAGACAAATAATAATGTTGTCTGTCACTGCCATGAATATGATGACCAAATGTTGAAGTAAATTGGCAACAAGCTCTGCATGTTACAGTGTATAAATCGTTGTGATTATTGCAGGAATGGTTCCAGTAGGTCATTTCACAAATTCAAACAACCAGACAATAAACAGTTCTGTTTAAAATTTAAGCAACTCCTTTTAAACAACCCAGTTGTGCAGTAATACTGAATAAACAACAGTTGCTTAGTAATTTAAACATTATTGTTTAAAATTTAAACAACTTGCTTTAAACAACCGAGTTGTGCAATTTTATTACTATTAAAACAACTGTTGTTTAAAAGCTTTCCTAATTTTTAAACAACTAAGTGTTCAAAATGTAAACAACCTTAATTTGTTTAATTTTTAAACAACAGTTGAGCGATTCACCGGTTAACTTGGGGTTGTTTAAAATTTTAAACAACTTGTTTAATTTGTTCTAACAGTGTAGAGGGCACCGAGTACCGACATAACTAGCCACCAATTACCGACAAATACATTAATGCCAATGTGCCAATGTCTACAAATGCAACTCTATGAAACCCGGGGCCGGGGGCTAATTTTCCTACGAACTATCTATACCTGCTCATGCAAATTTTCCTTGACCTCATAAATATACAGTTTATTTCGTCAAGACTAGTTAGTATAGCTATACAGAGCGTCCCAGAAAACAGCGATGCCGAGAACTATTGATGTTTCATTATAACTTAAGCACAATTATAATTCATGAATGACACATATTGTTTAATTAAGCTAAGATTTTCCTCTTTTATTTGATGCAACTCATATAATGCATATGTCACGCATGAGTTATTAAAAACAATTTGGAGAAAGGGTACCAAAAAGTCATTTGGCGGACGGTATCTGAATTTCAAAAAGTAGACATTTTGTAAGAAATTTTCTGCCCTTTCATATGACACCTCAACTAGGAAAAATGAGCTAGTAATAACAAAGTTCCGTTTGTTTAAAGCAGTGCTTGCATTTCCATGATTTGATTAAACGAATTCGTTTTCGTTGTATGCCTGCCGTAGCAACAAACGGAGTTGACAAAAGACTTAACTCCGTTTCGTTGACAATCAGCTATTCATCAAGTTATTCGTCTATGGCTGATCGTTGACTTTAATCGCTCATGTGTGAAATATGCATCATATGACTTGCATCAAACAAAAGAAGAGGATCTAAGCTTTGAAAATATGACATTTTTGTTGTTGTCTGTATAAAGAAAATGAGCAACCTTTGTTTTGCAACTATTCGGTGTAGCGTGGTCGTAAAGACCACTGCGCTTGAACACAAATCTCCCGGGTTCAAAGCTCGATGATTTTCAAAATTTGTAATTCCAATCATTAATATCTTGATAATCAGACAGGCGATTGGCTTGTAAAAGTCAAGGAGTTCCTGACAGACCTAAAGGTTTATAATTATCATTGCAGCATGAGCTAAATCAAGGATTATTTCTAAAGGATCTAAGACAAAGTTACCGGATCCCTTTAAAAGAATACTTCCACCTGGGTATCATGGAGTACACTGCTTGTGCATAAATGAATAATGATTAAATAACTTTCATGACCACGTATCCATTATTTTTTTCCGTATATTTCACAATTTGGTCTGCAATGACCTTTATAGTTGCTCATGCTCAGAATGCCACTACGAACTGGCTTATTGACAATAATCGTTGATGATTGCTGGATAACAAGTCACTGTTCGTAGAAAAAAAATAAAAATAAAAATCGCCGGCCAACCGTCACTAGGAACTTTCGCACGGCGACGCAAGTGCTGACTACGGGGTATTTTAATGAGCTCACCACCCGAACAAGCTCGATTTTCGCTCTGAGTGCGACCCCCCCCCCCCCCCCCCCCCGCTAAGTTTAGCGTTGCAGAAGGCCCCGTCGCCGGTTGCGAAAACTCCCTAATGCAAATTAAATCGCTACGGTAGCCAACACGGAGACGGTCACGGCTCATTTTAATACCCCGTAGTCAGCACTTGCGTCGCCGTGCTTAAACTCCTTAAAGGGAAAGTCCACCCCCCAAAATAAGTTTGTTTCGATAGAGGCAGAATAATAAGAAAATCAGGTGAGTGAAAGTTTGAGCAAATTCTGAATGAAAATAAGAAAGTTATGAATTATTGAAGTTGTGATCAATCAAATACAAATTGGCAACTCTGTGACTTATTATACGAGCTCTCCTTCATTTGCTTTGTGCATAATATTCCATAAAATCATGTTTTCTTCGTTATTGATGACGGAATATATATTTGTTCCTTGCAGGGGGAGTATAGAAACATATTTGCAATTATTATATTTAGGGTGCATGTATGGTTGAAATTTTTCTTGAGGGAAAATAAAAATTTTAGATTTTTTTAGTACTGAGCAAATGGAAGTTGAGCTTGCATGATACGTCATAGAGTTGCCAATTTGTGTTTGATTGATCACAACTTCAAAAATCCTAACTTCCTTATTTTTAATCGGAATTTGCTCAAACTTTTACTGACTTGTTTCTCTCATTTTTCTACTCCTATTAAAACTAACTTAATTTCAGGGTGGACTTCCCCTTTTTAGGCAGTTTTCGTAACCGGCGACTGGGCCTTCTACAACGCTAATATTCGCGAGGGGTCGCACTCAGAGCGAAAATGTCCGCGTAGCGTCCGAACCTACGACGGTTTTCAGCTGTATTAGCTTCGGGAGTCGAGCTAGTACGGGGTGGCGAGCTCATTTAAATACCTCGTAGTCAGCACTTGCGTCGCCGTGCGAAAAGTCCCTAATCGTATTGTGGAGAGTCACATTCGTGGAATAAGTGAACAATCTTAATTCATCTTGGAATACTCTCAAAAGACTTACTTAGCAATCATCTCCATACATGCTCTCTCTTCGTCTGTCAACATGCAATGCATGAATCGTCTGTATGTGTTCTTGTTAAGACTATGAACATCACCAAGGAAAGCTGATTCTCGGATTGAACCAGGAGTAGGATACTGTCCCTCCAACCTACAATTTAAATATAAAGATAACAAGGAGAAGGAGATAAACAGGAAAAAGTGGATAGATCATATTAGGAAAAAAGGTAGAGAAATTGATTTGAAGCTAGCTACAGACAAGACTAGATGCTAGGTGGAGAGTGGTAATGAGGCGACCCCCCCCCCCCCCCCCCAAAAAAAAAAAAAAAAATAAATAAATAAATAATAATAATAATAATAATAATAATAATAATAATAATAAATAAATAAATAAATACATAAATAAATAAATAAATAAAAAATAGAGTCTCCCTATGCGCTTAACAAGGTAAATAAAGCAAATATAATTTACAATATGTTGCTATAAGATACACAAACAGGATTGGAAAAACTATTATATTAAAATACAATGCATTCCTTTATAAGACTTGAATGACTATTAGAACAATTGAGAAATGGGAAAATAAATCCACTAAAGGGACTCTCAAAGGAATACGGAAAAAACAAAAGGGGACGCCTTTAAAATCATACTCATAACCTCAATAGGGACCAGTTTTTTTAAGTGAGACAAAGCTTACCCTTGAGTCCATTTATCCAGTTCTGCATATTTGATGATCTTACTGTTACTCTCGTTCCACAGGTCAGCTGTGTTTACCGTCTGCTCTTTATACTCCAATTCTTTCATTTCACTTTTGGAGCCAATGGTCACTGACAGCTTTAGGGCAAGACATGGCTGATCACCTAAGAAAACCACAAAGATAGACATGTACAGTGGCGTATGCAGGATTTATCCAGGGGGGGGGGGGGGGGTTAAAATCGGCCCCAAAATTTCGCAACGACTCAGCCAGCCGGGGGGGGGGTGTGGTACGAGGACACTTTTTTTTTTTTTTTTGTCTCGAAATTTGATAATTTGACATTTTTATCCGTTGGGGGGGAGGTGGGGGGGGGGGGGTAAGGTCACCTTTTTTAGCTCAGCCATTGGCATAATTTGTGTTTTTTTTTCAATTAAAAAAAGAAAACTGAAAGGTTCCCCCCAAAAATACACAAAACTTACACATACACAAAACTCAAGGGGGGGTTAACCCCCCCCCCCCCCCCTGCGTACGCGCCTGTACATGTGTGTAACTTACAATCAGTGGGAAATTAACTTC